CATATAAGGAAAAATATACCAAATATATATGTATATATATATATATGTGTGTGTATATATATATATTATTAAAAATATACATAAACAAATAAATTTATAAAATAAAAATAAATTAATATATAAAATATTCTTTATATAATTTTTTTTTTCATAATAGGTTTATAAGCTTACGACCTATGCATAAGTGTGCATCAACATACATGATTACACATAATTGTTCCTTCAATAATTTTAAAAATAATTTTGTTAATTTTTAAAAATTAAGTTTATTGACCTAATTAACATTAATAATTTAAATTAGTTTTTAAATAGACTAATAAGTTAAGTCGAGCTTTAAGAAAGGCCTATAAAAAAACCTATGAGAGATAATAGTCTACATTTAAACTTTTATTTTGTAGAACACGTTTGACATATATATTCAAAGTTTGGTTTGACCGGACTTATTCTCAATATCCCAAGTTATTGGTGAAAATTACATGGACTAAAAAGAATTTAAAATTTGAAAAAATCAAAAATAATTTTACGATAAGTTTAAATGTCTAAACATATGTAAGCTTATAAAAAAAATATATATATATATATATATATCCAACCAAATCACAATAACGATGGATAATAATGCAAAATCTTTCCACGTGGTGCACCCTCCAAAAGCTACCTCCTCTTCCCTTATTCTCGCGCTCTCCTTTACCCCCTCACATTTTCCTCCTCCTTATCACATGTTCCCTCCTTCCCTACCCCTTCCTTAGCCCATTGCTACGCTAACTCCTACCCATCCCAATCACTCCACAACCATCCGAAAACCAGAGTTTTTAACAATCTAAATACGATTTGTTCGTTATGCAAAAGTGAGGACATTATTACAAAATATCCATACAAAATCAAGATTAAAAATTGATTATAAGAGAATCGAATTAATAGAAAAGATGATGACATGTTGTAAACATTTTTATCACATTTAAAGTCAATTTCCCTTTAACTAATTTTAAAAACATTTATGAAATTGGTTATAAGAATAACCAATTCCATAAGCGACACTTACAAATCAGTTCGAAAGAATCGATTTCACGTAATACTCACAAAATTGGCTCTTAAAGAATTGATTATATGTTCCTAAAATTTCTAATTTATTGACTCATCCAATATAACGCCTAATTGTTCATTCCAATGATTTCGAAACACATTCATTTTGAACGCATATCTGTGGAGAAAAGATAGATACTAGAAGAAGGTTGAATAATGTGTATCAAAAACTCACATCTTTTAAAGTACATGAAGTAGTATTCTTTTATCAAATCATTTATGGCTCAAATAAGTGTTCTTTGATAGGCTTTTTCAAGCCACTACCCAAGTATTCTTTTTACAAACAAGCCTCTCTAGGCTTAACTCCAAGTATTCTTGTATAGACAAACTTCTCTAGGCTCTACCTTATAACAATGATTAGGAAGGTATTACAAGGTTGCAATTGTCGTCTCTTTTAAATGTGATTACAACAAATAATTTAAGTGCAAGAAAACTCTTGAAGAAGATTTTCTATGAGATGTATATTGTATCCTAAAATTTTTCTATGTATCACTATTACTTCTTCTTTTGAGTTCGAAAGTTTCTTATATAGTAGCTTTAAAAGAGATGACCGTTGCAACTTATTGAGTTTGATTAATAGAATTGTTTCATATAGAGAGAGGAGAATTATCTGTTTGTGCATTAAATGTTTCAATTAAAGTTTTTCACCTAAACTTACTCCTTATCTTTGATAAATCAACTACTTATTAGAGCAAAGTAGAAAAATGAGAACAACAAGAAGCAAAGTTAGCGTACAATAAGGATGTAGTCCTTTTCCAATGCCTTTTCTGTGAAAATTTAAAAGTGTTAGCCACAATAAATAATGATCGTTAAGAACAGTTTGTATGCTTCATCTGATTTGCTTCATTTTACAAACATTACTTCATCTTACAAAGTCTGAAACAACGAATTTTATAAAGTGTTTTCTTACTAAAATATGCAGGGTTTGTTATTATTAAAACTTATAAAAGCATGAGAGATCTAAGGTTGTCTTTTGAATTAACAATATCTTTGCAAGGTTCGCAATGTGTAGAGGGGTGTTCATAATGTATTTAGGTTGATGTCATTTCTCCATCCATATCCACACCTTATTTTCTTTTCTATTTTTTTTTTTGAATAAAGATTTGTTTTGGAATGGAAACAAAACTCAATGGAATATTTTTATTGTGTCATAGGAAGGTAGCTAAGTAAATGCACCTTCAAAGAGACCCTCCGCCTCCACCTACTAATCTCGCTCCTCCTCTATGAGACAGAGGAGGAGGCGATGGTCGCTGAATACTTCGTTTCTGAGGAGGCAGATACAAAGCATTATCTTGTCATGTGAATAGAGTGTCATCATTCTCTTCGTTTCTCATTCTCTCACTTGTCACTACATTAAGGTGTTTCAGACTTGGAAAACCATGAGATCTAATGTGGTCGTGGTGAATAGTTGTGGTGAAAGTGTCAAAGAAGTCTGAGCAATGAAAATGACCTGGTTCTTGGGGCAAAAGCTTTGAAAGCCCTTTGTTGAGACATGATTCTCTATTTTTTTTTTGAAGCTTGGATTGTAGAACTAGAACACTAAGGAAACTTGGAAAATCATTGGAAACCTCTATTGGATTCATGTTCACATTTCTAGAACATGCAACGGAGAACATTTGATATTTTGTAAACATATAAAATTGGTTGTTTTAACTCATTTTTTACATGTTATTTTCAAAATTAGTTGATACTTGATTTTAAATGTAGTATAATACAACACCAATGATAATAAAATTGATTAGACACCCAATTTTACAAATCCCCAAATAATCAATTTTGTATGTTTTTTTTCACTAGTGAGTGTTGTTGCACCACACATAATCTATGATTGTACAATCTCTGAATCCCTTTCATTACAGTGTATTCGATGACAATTTACAGAATTTATCGTTAGTTAGAACCCTCTATGAGTAGTCCTTTCTAAGGTGTCCATTCACTTTTTAGGATCCACGATTGATCCCACAAATCAACACAAGATTTTTCAGCGTGTTTTGTCATCACCTACATGTTTTTCGGGAAATTTTTTAGAAGGTCACCCATCCCTAAATTACTCTAAGTCAAATATGCTTAATTATGGAATTCTTATGAGATGAGCTGCCAAAAAATAGATGCATCTTATTAGTATAGATAGTACAAATTAATTATTTTAAGTCACTCATAACTATACAATCTCATACTTGTACAATCTCTGAAACTCTTTCATTAGTGTATTTGAATGTTACAAAAAGCATAAATGAAATAATTATAATAACATGAACAAAAAAAACTTTCTTTTCAGCTAGCATTGCCTTTTTGTATTCAATTGTAGCAATACTTATTTTGGCAAATGAGGAGATATATGATTTTATTTTTAATGCCACATATGTCTTAGATGAAATCTTCCTGACCAAAGATGAAACACACTACACTAGCGTAGAAGGAGGATTCAACATTGGTTAAAATAAGGATTCTACATCTATTATATGGTTGGCAAAAATCACATTAACATAAAATGGAATGCAGTTCTACATTGGTTAAAATTTAATCGAAGTAGAAATGAGAACAAAATAAAATAAAAATAAAAAATTTAATGCAAGTCACCACTTCACATCACTCCACCCATTTTATGCCCCTCCTTGCAGAAACACATACATAAAGAACGACCTCCATACAACAACACAAACCACACCCTATTCTCCCCAAAACCTCACAACAAACAAACCCACAAAATCCCAACCCTAGCAACACCTGCACCTTAAACCCACCTCACATTTTTCATCCCTTACTCATAAACCCAAAAACTTTGAATACACCACTTGCAAAAAAAAACTCAACACAACCCGTTTTACCATTCACCTCTTCCACAAACACAACCTCTTCAATTTATTGTGCGACTTATTCAACAAAACAAAAGGAGTTTTTATAGTCAAAAAAGAAAAAAATATAGAAAATGATACAAATCAAAGAGATGAAATTGAAGAAAAAAAAAAGATGAAGATGAAATAAAAGATAAATGCTATGTACATAGAAACTAAAAAGTTGATATTTAATTGCATCAGTTCTAATAAATTGCTATTAGTGTAAAATAGTGCAAGTAGTTTTTTTGGGAAAAAGGGTAGTAGGGTTTGAAAGGGGTGCAGGAAATTTGTTGTAGTGGACACCAATCAAGATGTCCTTCGCTACCTGCAGATCCATTATCTTCTCCCCTGGAGCTATGTAAACAAGCATCGAGAGAATGGGTTGGGTATGTGTGCAAGTAAAAATTGTTGCAACTTCCTTCTCTATAAGCAACTTCACGGCCTGTTCAAAAACCATGGTTGGTGACCTCCAAGATGCATCCTCCAGTGGCAATGACATATGCACTAGCACTGCAGGTTACCTCTCAACCTTTGAAGGATATATGGATGGGGATGTTCTATATGCATTTATCGATGGGTGATTGAGTGTTGAGAAAATAAGGTGGTGGGGAGACAATGAGGAATGGTTGCAAAACTGATTTGTTTAAAGTCTAGGGGAGGCAATAGTGATGTGTGCAAGAGCGTGAAATATTTGTTGTTTGAAAATTTTGGAAGATAAGTTGATGAAAAGGTGTAAGGGGTTGTTTAGTGAAGGTGGCAAGGTGTTTCTTGGTTAAGGAAAGATTGATGGTAAGGAACTTATGGATGGATTTCATGGTTTGTAAGAGGTGAAGGTAATGTGCATCTTCTAGTATTTGTTGATTTACCAACCAAGTTTGCAAAGCATCTAGTTGAGTGGATATGACGCAAAGGTGGTCTTTCATGGGAGGTAGAGTTAACTAATGAAAATACCAATGTTAAACTTAGAATAAGAAAAAAGAGAAATAAGACTACAAAATAAATAATTAATGCTCAAATTTTTCATTCATTGGTAATCATTTTTAGAAGGAAAATATATTTATATAGACCTAAATTGACTCTAATCAATGGATAGTTATATATCCATGTGGCAACATCTCATTATTTTAAGAGAAATAAAAATAAACATTTGACTTCATCCTATAAAATCTTTTAACTAATTAATTTTTCTTCTTTTGGTTTTTTCTAAGCCCATCTTATCACATATGCAACACTAAGTGCAATAAATGGAGAAAGGGAGTTTAGGATCAAGGAATGTATCAAGTTGCATTGTTCCTAAGCTTCGAAATTGGGCTCATGTTGATAAGGTACCTTATCTTAATAATGTGGGTTTGGAGTCTAACTCTACATTATAAAATCAATTTGAAAGGTGAAGATTGCTCTTTATTCCCACTTATACACTATATTATGATCATATCTCATTATACATCATTCTCATGTTGATGATGTGACATCCTAATCAGCGAATTGCTCCTCAATCCTCGCTTATATACTATGCTATAACCATCTCATTAAACAACGTAGAATTTCTAACACAAAATAACTCAAATTTACAAAATTAGCTTGTAAGTTGAGAATTACTTTCCACTTTTATACTATATTATGGCCATATCTATAGGTGTTCATTGAATTAGATCAACTCAATGAATCTGACAATCCAAATAGAATCAATTAAATTATTTTGGATTTTTTGATTAATTTAAGAAAGAAGTTATAATCTTAATCTCAATTTTTAAACGACATATCAGAATAAAACTAAATTAACCCTAACCACAAACTAGACAACGTAGAATATCCAACGTGTTGATTGTTCCATCCACAAAATTGATACTTACTTTTCAACATTAAAACTCAGTTTCATAACTCTCATCCAGACATGATAATTAACTGCCCTTTTAACTTATTAAGTAGTTGAATCTAGTGTTGTTAAATTTTAACTCGAAAACTGTAACCTTTACTAGTTTGATTCCTTTATTATATTTGAATTGCAATACGACTTCGCTCATTTAAACTCATGTGACCTGGCTTAAATGGTGTCACAAATACTCTATAATCACTTTTTTGAGCACACTTTGTTGAGTATGTAGAGTTTGAAGAGTTTATTGGACACTTGACCCTTTTTTTTCTTCTTATAAATACTCATGTAATTATAAACATAATGATGAAATAGAAAATATCATCTAGTAAGATTGTGAATATAAATTATTCTGATTGAACCACGTAAATCTTTGTATCTTGTAAATTTACTTCTTTTCTTGTAATTATGTATGTGAATATGTTTATGAACCCTACAACATTGTGCGTGTAAATGCGTTTGTGATTACCAACACACTTACCAAGCAAGCTATCACTAAAGTGTGAACACCTCTGATTAGGCTGCCCAAGACCTGATCCAAGTGGCGTAAGACGGCTAAAATGCTCATTCACCAGCTTGCATCCTACCATTTGAATTTATAACAAAACAACCGTAAAAAAAATTTGGGTGGCAAAGCTCAAAGCTTACTACCATGCTAAAGTGATTTATTATTAATATTATGACAAAGTTAACTTATATATAGTATATTTTCTATAAAATTAACATATTAATAATTTAAACATACCAATTTAATTAATAATTCAGTGATTCGATTATTGATCCGCAAGTGCCTAAATTGAGTTAATGTCCGATCCTGTATTATGTAAATCAACAGCATTTATGCACTAACACGTCACTGTTTTTATTTCTCGATACTAATTACAGGGCTTAATGTTACTATGGACGTCTACAACAACTTTAGAGAATTTTGCATGCTATACAGCGATATTCCTCCTTACATTGGGGAAAAGCGGGCAAAAGCTTTCAGAAAATTTCCTCGAATATCAGGTAAAAGAGAAAATTGAGGAGAAAAAAGAAAGAGAAGTAGAACATGGAAGCAGGCAAAACAACAGAGCGCAAGACCACGTTGGTAGAAGTCATACAAATAATATATGGCTGCTATTCTTTGTTTCAATTGTTGGATATGTCATAACAGTTTGTATGGCCTTTACCATGAATGATGCAAGCTACGATTACACCTTCAGAGTTGCGGCACTTCTTATGGGGGGGACTCATCTGTTTTTCCTCTTTGGTTGTGTGGGGTATAGGCGCAAAGAATTGAGAACTGAAAGCTATCTACACATGATCTATAGAATCTGCAAAGCAGCTTTACGGAAGCGAAAATCAAAGTATCCAGCCACAGCGAATTCTTATCACTGGAAGAATTATAAACAGAAGCACTTGTATAAGCATGGAAGAGGACTAAGGTTATCCCCGAAAGTTCCACGGTTATTCAGGTGGTTGGACAAAGCAGCTATAGTTGAAGTTGAAGGAGAAGAGTGTAGTGATCATGAAATGCAAGAAAAGAAAGGGAAGCTTTGCATGGTAAAGGAAGTGAGGGAAGTGAAGAGCCTTGTTCCTATGATCTACCTGTACGTAGCCATTGTTGGTTACAGTTTACTCCTGGCCACCAAGAACACGTTCTTTGTTGCACAAGTAAACATCGTGACCCCTATTACAAAGAGTAATAGGGATATCTGGATTCTCTTTTTGATCTCGGACTTCATGATTTATGTATCGGAAGGGATCTGCTTTATTACTAGATTTGCATTTGGACGCTTGAAAAAATTCAAAAGTATGGATGGTAGGTCCAAAAGAAAAGCAGGCACACTTATAAGGATTGGTTTTGGCGAGGGCCAAAAGAAAAGCAGGCACACTTATAAGGATTGGTTTTGGCATGCTTTGTGGGGTTACTTGCTGCCTCGTAGCATGCCTAATGGAGACTCGTAGATTGTCGATTACTGATAATGAGACAGGGGACCTGAAACGAGGAGGAAGGAACTCGACAACGGCCTTAGTGCCACAATTTGCATTGGTAGGAACCACGGAGGGATTTGTTGAGGGGGGCTTAAGCAGTTTATTCGAGTGCCTCGTAGCAAATTCAATGTGGTCTTTCGAGGAATCGTTTACTGAAATAGTGATCGGTACTGGCAAACTCCTAAATATACCACTTGTCTTATTTTCCAGAAGCTGGATCCAGAAAACTATCGACACTAGCCATTTGAACAGATACTATCTGTTGTTGGGAATACTGAACGCTGCGTTCCTTGTCGTTTTCGGATACTACTCCATCAGATATGCATACAAGGAAGCATGGCCGGAAGATGAATTGAAACATCCTCCTCATCAACCACATTCACATCATGAAAATAATGATAATGAAGCACAACTGGTGGACCAAGGTAACAAATAACTCACTGTTTCCTCGGTTTTTCTTTTAATTAGCAAAAGAACTTAAATTAAAGAGATACAACGGTAACAAAACTCATACATAGCATAGAACATAGAACATAGAACATAGAACATAGAACATAGAACATATCATAAAGTAAATACTAATTCACTGTTTCCTCTGTGTTCTTTTATATCCTATATTATTGTTTTCAATTGTTTTTTTTTTTCCCGAAGTTATCGGTAAGAGAGAATGCAAATTGTCAAAAACAATGATATCGATAAATTATCGGGTGATTTTTTGAAATAGTTCTTAATTAATCTTAACATAACACAACCAAATTTCAATTTTTTCTTACATTAAAAAATTTAAATGTATGTCATTATAAACACCATAAGCACTTGACAGCCCTGAAGTACATGATTATTTCTCTGCACAAACACTACATGAATAATATTATATATTAGCTAGGAATATGATCAACGTAGACACCATTTTTGAAGTAAAAGAGTAATAGAAAAAAAACTGTCAATTAAATTTAATAAATAATATGATAAGAAATGAAAAATATATTATATTAAATATAAATTTATTTTATATTTATTTATACATAATTTTAGTATTGATTTTAAATAAAATTTAACAATATGTTTTTTTATCATTATAATCTATATTTATATTTTTTAACAATATATAAACATATATTATACATACAATATTGATAAAAGTAATTTTTAGAAATAAGTATTGGTCACTATAAAGTGTGTCATTCATGACAATATTTTTATAGTGATCATCTTTGAAATTAATAATTAATAAAAGCAAACCTATGTATATGAAATGTATTGGCAGTTTGGCCATAAAAAAATATTAAAATAAATTAAATAAAAAAATATTTATCAAAATAAATTATTTTAACGACATAGAATGGAAGAGATGAAAAAAACGTCACTGTATATGACATTTTACATTAGGGGAGAGAGAAAAATTGAAAACATCATGATAATTGACATTTTTTTCATGCCTTTTGACTCTTATGCATGACCAACGACCAAAAATCATTAAAAATAAAATAATAGAAACGTCATGTAATTTGACGCTTTATATGCATATTTAGGGGTTTTATATGCATGGCAAAAATTATATGCATGTTTAGGGGTTTTAAACAATTAAAAAAAACTCCAATTTTTAATTTTCAATTTAATAAATAAAAAAATAAATTTTAATAAAATTATATTTTATACCACTTAAAAAATTTAATTACAAATTAAAATTATAACTAATAATAAAAAATATTTCACAAATATTTCACATAAACAAATCTATAATCTAAAAATATATGCAAAAAATCAAATATTATATAACCTAAATATATATATATATATGCAAATCATAATAATAATATATTTTTAGGTTATAGATTTATTTATGTGAAATATTTGTGAAGTAGTTATAATTTTAATTTGTAATTAAATTTTCTATGTGGTATAAAATATAATTTTATTAAAATTAATTTTTTTTGTTAAATTAAAATTTAAAAGTTGGATTTTTTCTTAATAGTTTAAAATAATTATATATTATTTTTTCATGTAAATTGTAAGTTTAACATTTATATACGTTAAAATTTGGTGATATTTAAATTTTTATATATGTAAAATACTTATTTTTATCATAACTTTAAGTCATTATAAACTAATTCTAATAATTCAATTATACTCATAAATTTTTATTTTTTCTATATTTTATATTAAAACGCATATTTTTTTTTCGTTAAACATAATTTTTTGCCATCCATATAAATTAAAACTCTTAAATATGCATATAAAGCATCAAATTACATGATGTTTCTATTTATTTTTAATGATTTTTGTTCCTTAGTTGAGGAGATCAAAAGGCATGAAAAAATGTCAATTATCACGACGTTTTTTATTTTTGTCTCTCTCCTAATGCAAAATGTCTACATAAATATTTCTCAAGGAATGTAACATAAAGGACGGAGTTATGTCTAAGGTGTGTAAACCGGTGAAGTCCCTCTTTGGTCTAAAACAAGCAAGTTGTGAGTTGGTACTTTTTTATTTTTATTTTTTGAACCAGAAAGTAATATATATTAAATAGGTAAAGGGTACCTAAAATCCATTTACAAAATTAGGAGAATTTAAGAACATAATATATATCTCAAGGTTAGATGTAATTATGTGTACTTGTATAAAAAATTGCTAGCTAACCTTGATTAATATAACCAAATAATATATAGTGAGCCTAACATTTTCACACATTGCTTAATTATCTCCTCCTTGAATACAATCCAATCTGCTGTTATATTATATGCATGCATCTCATGAAGTCTCCCAAACCCAATCAATTGTTGTAATTCCTCATAATTAATCATACTCGTATCCTTTATTATGACAAATATGACAATGTGACATACATAGTCATAAAATGTCGTGTATTGACTTGTTATAAAATGTATAAATATTTTATATCATCAGAATTTATGTCGTGTTTCAAATTAATATATAATATTCAAATACTCATAATGAGATGTTCATCCTATAGTAATGCTAGCATAATTCTTCAAATAATTTAAGCTATATTTCGGATATATATATAAAGCAAAATAACTCCTAATTTAAGTTTCATAACAAATCTCCTCTTGAAACTTAAATGCTTCTCCCATCTCTCATTCCAATCAGCTTTTTGCAATTTTCCAGCAATGTAGTTGGCAGGGGATTATTATTATTAAAGCAAAATAACTCCTAATTTAAGTTTCATAACAGTTGCCGGCTTCGAGAGCGACGAGGAAGTAGTACGGAAATGCGCTGCGAGAGACGAGGAGAGTGTCGTCTAAGTCCGAAGCTACGGTTTGGTTGGAGCGGTCTTTGGTGTTGCATTTGGTTATTGGCTCGAAACGATGAAACGCTCGCATGGCCATCGCAAGACTAGAAAAGAAAGAGAGAAGGTAGGTTTGTGGTGTGGCGAAGGTGTCTTTTGGGGAGTTTGTAGAGATATTACATATATAGCTCGAAAATGTCAAGAAGAGAAAGAGTCCACGAGGAGAATTTGGCTAAACGACCATTGTAGAGCAGTTTTACAAACAAATTACCGAAATGGGGTTGTTTTGAAACATATTACACCTTTGGGGCTATTTTCTACGGTGTCGCTATGGCCCATAGCGACACCAGTGACACGTGGCAATTTTGAGTCTGATTATAAGCCATGAACGCCATATTTGTAGAGTCGCTGTAGCTGGTTGAGTCTCAACTAAAGTCGCTATAGGCTATAGCGACTCAATATGGCTAAAACTGAAGTCGCTATAGCCTATAACAACACATTTATATAAATAATATAAAAATATATATTATATAAATTTAAAAATATAAAAAATTATGTGAAGAAAAAACGAATAAAAAATAACGTAATATAAGAAACATAAAAAATAAATTATGTTTAAAAATATTAATTAAACTATAAAATAATAATTT